CCAGTCTATCACAGGGCTACACTTAGAGACAGACAACCAAGCACACTCACATTCACACCTACGGACAATTTAGAATCACCAATTAACCTCAACATGGTGAAACATTTGTGCATCAAATGGTTGACAATGAACCAAAACAGTTAAATTGTGGATCAGGGGCCTAAAACCATGAGCTATAAGCTCTATGCCGGTCTGTCAGTTTGAGTGACACCTTTCACAAAGTTGAAGTCATGGACTGTTGATGCAAAGATAGAGTGCCATGAAAAAGTGTTTGTCCCCTTCTTGAAATCTTATTTTTTTGAATATTAAGATAACATAATTCTTTATTGATCCCCATAGGGGAAATTCAGGAATATTTAACCCACTTACATGTGTAAGCTCATCAAACAAATTGTGCTTCGCGTTAGTTCAGACAGGCACAGTGTCAGGATGTCACATGGCCCCTCCTGTCCAATCGTCATCGCTAAAGTCCAGCCCACCCACTTAGCGTGCTTTATAACTGAGGCAGCGTTCATTCATTCTGCCCGCTTCACGCTCACCACATCACTGCTACTCCAGCCTCTGCAGATCGACAAATCTCCTCCTCCTCCTCCCCAACCACCACCTTCAAAAAACAGTTCAATCTCATATAACCCCGGTGTTTCCCATATCATGGGACTGTAGGTTGCAGATGGTTCATTATTGTACCTTGAACTATGTAATCTAGATTCTGTAAGTGAAGACTATTTAGTTGGTCTCCTGTTCTTGTGTTCATACCATATTTTAAAAATTGTAAATTGTAAATTCATGGCTCTGCGGGGGTTGTGATCTCAGGGATTATCTGTGTCATGCTTGCTCAGATTGTTCCGGAGCATCACGAGCAGAGTCACTGCCAAACTCAATGTACGTGATCCCAAATAAATGGTTAAAATCTGACAAAGTGTCCTGTCTGAAATTTAAATATTAGACACAGATAACCAAAGTAAACACAAAATGTAGGTTTTAAATGATGATTTAATGTTTTAAGGGGAAAAAGCTATCCAAACCTACTTGGCCCTATGTGAAAAAGTAATTGCCCCTCTTGCTAAATTCTGAATTAACTGGGGCTAATCACATTTTTTTGAAAGCTGTTATGACCCTGTGGGTCATCTATAGTGCTTTTTTTGTGTTTGCTGCTTGCTTTCTCTCCTCAGTGTGTGTGTGTGTGTGCGCGCGTGTGGTTTTTGAGTGAATGGATAAGGAGGAGGTGGTGACTACGGATTGGCTGTCTCGCCTGCTGCTGCGCCTGATTCGAGCCATGCAATTGGTCAGGGGAAGGGTCCTTCCACTGTTTGAACAGCCCGCCAGCTGCACTTGGTCTCCTCACCTCCAGCCTTGCCACTTCAGAGAATGCCAGCATGCCGTAGCCATGTGCTACAGATTCCGTGTCTTTTGTGAACTTGGTAAATCTTTGTAAATACTGTAAATAGATAGCAGAGTAGGAGGGAGAGGCCTTTTTCTTTAAACTCTTTCCTCCTGTTTTTTAGGTTTAAAGGCATTTCAAGTATTTCAAGGTTTATTTATCTATTTACTTTTTATTTTAATGTAATTTTGGCCAGTAGGTGTTCCATGTTTTTTTTGTTTTTAAGACTGACTTTAAAGAAAAGAAAGAAAA